CTGGAAATTAACTGCATATAATATATCTACTTTCAAGAAATTTTGCCCTGGGGGAGATCATAGAGGAGGAGTGATCCTTTCCACTTAGGTAAAAAAGACACTTAATAAATACTCATTAAATTAAATATGTTCCTAATATTTGGGAGCCAGAGTGGCTCAGAGGAGCTAAATAACCATTTTGCCTATGTGTATTCTTTTTCTTTAAAATATTTTTTTTAGTTGTAGTTGGACACAATACCTTTATTTTATTTATTTATTTTTATGTGGTGCTGAGGATCAAACCCAGCGCCTTGCATATGCTAGTCAAGCGCTCTATCACTGAGCCACAACCCCAGCCCCCTTATGTGTATTTTTAATAAGGCAAGTGTCTCAAGTTAATCAACAAAATTGAAAAATCCAGTACCTTGCCTGAGCATTTAATATCTAAATAATAAGCCGGGCTAAAAAAATAAGTCTATATGGTTTATTATTTGCTCTTTAAATGTAAAATGTAGTAACAAGTTCAGGTCAAATCACAGTAAATGACCTAAAGTCAAAAGGCTTAAATATGTCCATAGGCTTTTTTTTTTCTTTTAAAGCCTAGAGGACAAACAATTTTCTTAAATAATAACATAGCATAAAGTCTAGATTTTCTGTCTCTGACAGACTTGACCTTGTATTGTTCCCTGATTTTGGTTCAGGATTCTTTCTGACCACAATGTGGAAAAATTGCAGACCCTTACTGCATCAGGATTCTGAATTTGCCTCCTAACTTAACAAAGAAAGAAGTGGAATATTTTGCGCCTGGTAATGTAATGATAGGGTTTGAAGGAGTTATCAAAACTAAGTTAAGCACTCCTGTAGAATATGCAAAATCCAGGAAGCTAAAATTTCTCTTTGGAAAGGAAAGATGACCAAAGTACCCAATAAGGTGCTTAGTGATTCATCCTGACCTTCAAAATGCATTTCACTCGTCCTCTAAATTAATGTGCATGTGGATTTAAAAACATTAAACAGAGTCTGAATATAGCTCTGAGGATTCAACAATAGGGAAGAGAATCAAATAAAGGAATCAAAAGAAACAAACTGAAGGAAACTGTGAGCAGGGATGAAAAGAGCAGGGTCTCTGGAAGCAGTCAAGAACAAAGATGACTGACCGCTGAGTGAGACCCCACTCGGGTTCTGAGCAGGCAGAAAAGCAAGGCAGGGATGTGTCAGTAGGGAGAGGGCTTTGCCGAAGGGCAAGAACAACACTCTGCTTTCAGAAGCAAACAACTCTGAGACTTCAAAGAAAACCTTTTATTCCCCCTGCCTTTTAATTTATTTTTTGCTTAAATCTTTAAGATCTTGGGATAGAACTGTGTCTGATAACAGTTTAGTGGACTAGAGGAACCATTGCCTCTTGCTCAGAATGTTAAGGCAGCCATTTACAAAGTCCCTCCTAAGTCACTGTCTTCCTCCCATGCCTGCTCCCACAAGGGGCTTTTTCCCAACAGACCCCATTCTGAAGCTGTATTTGAACAACAACAACAACAAAAGCACTTGCCTGAAGGAACAGATTTCTTTTAAATGTACAGAGCTTAAGAACTGTAAATAGGGACCTTCTCCAAGCATTAAGGAAGATTAGGAGAAGGGAAAGCCTGCCTTTTGAGGTCTAGCTGTGTTCAATTCAGAAATATAAAGCTTTAGGGGCCCATCTGACAGCTGTCAATACAGTTTAGATTAGGAAAGGGGTGGCTAGGGATTCAGAACACTGACTAGTCATTTTGAACTCAGAAGTCCAGAGAGTTTCTGAGGCTTTAAGTAGATTATATTGTGCATTATCTCAAATTCTTGTACATATGGAACCCAAGCATCTATCTGTGAAGTGTGTGGTTCTCAGTGATGTTAAGAATCTACCTGTGGTCATCTGCATTTTTGTTCCAAGTTCTTCACTTCATCCAATAATAAATGATATATTCTTGTCTTTGGCCATGAGAATTTGAAGTGCTTCCTGCTGTGGAAAGGTCGTATCTTTGCACCGAATTTATGCTGGGCTTAGCTGTGACCTCCTTTGGCCAATGGAATGGGGGCAGAGGTGACAATTACTCTGAGCTGAGTCTTTAGAGACAGTCCGTGTTTCTGTGCTCACCTCTCATGCTGCTTCATCACCATGGGGAAAAAACTCGCCTTTTGGTAGCTGCAGATGCTTCAGCCTGGACCTAGAAAGGACACCTGTACCCAATTTAAGTTCAAGTTTTGCCTTGTCTCAAGTCTAGCCACCTTACAGAGCCAATTGGAGCTATGTAAATGTTTGCCATGTAAACTACTCTGCTTCATAGGCTTGCGTTCAAAATCGAATGACATCAGAAGTGACATCATCATCTTTACATGTTCTAAATGTTCTTTCAAGGTAAATGGACTCAGAACTTCTAAATATAAAAATACAATCAAGTTCTAGATTATGGTTAGTATCACTTAAAAAAATCTCATCTCACTTTCTTACTGTGATGGATATATGAGCCATTACTGAACTTCCAAATAAAAAAAAATCAAATCATTTTGTATACAAAAAGTAGGTTATTATAAAACCATTATATAGGAAAGCCCAACCCCACACAACCTCCGCAGACTGCTTCTTCCCCAGCACTCCCATCTTAGTAATGGTAACACTCTGAAGCCAGTAGCTCAGGCTAAAACGTGAGTGTCCTCCTGATACTTCCCTTTCCTTACTCTCTGTTTGAAACAGCAAAACTCTTAGGCTCCATCTTCAAATATCTGAAATGTGACCACTTCTCACTTTCTCCCCTCACCACTTCCCATGCTTCCTTTTGGGTTCTGCCATGGTTGGCACCGGCAGGGACAGGGATAGAAAGGGTGGGGCATTTCTTCTCCACTCCCTCTTTGATTCAGACCTGTATCTCTAGCAGCAGCTGCATCCCCACAACTCCAGAGCCCTCTCCTCCATGGTCCCATGGAGGGATAGGGCTGAGGGTCTGCTAAGTTGCTGAGGCTGGCCTTGAACTTGCCATTCTTCTGCCTTAGCCTCCCAAGTCAATGGGATTACAGGTGTGTGCCTGCCACTGCACCCAGCAGCATGGTTTTTCTTAAAAAAAAAAAAATAGTGTATCTTTAAAAAAATCTGGGTATACAAATATAACATTTAAGTAATATAAAGAAAGGCCTGGAAGCATATGTATCTGTATCTTGACAGGGGCTGCTTCCTGGGAAGGCAATGATCAGACTTGGTTTTCTGTTTCATTTGTGTTGTGTGGTTGAGTTTGTAGAAGCTCAGAAGACCACTAGAAGCCCATATGAATTTTTTTGGGGAAAATCAGAAAATTTCAACAAACAAATTGGAAGTTAATTTTCACAGATATTTTGTTACTTGAGGAAGTAGTTGAATCTGGATGCTGCAAGACCAGAGGGAAGGACTAACTCAATAAAATTATCTCTTAAACTAGAGATACTCTGATTGCTCCTGAATTTACTGGTGTTATGGAAGTTCTGTTTACCACACTGGTACCAAAGAAAGCTGATTTTAATTTAGATTAGCTCAGAATTAAACTTTCCTGCTGTTAAAAGATCTGAGTTTGTAAGAATGTGAGGATCATTCTTTATAGATAAAAATTAGATTTATGTGAAAAAAATTAAAATTCTTCCAAGTTATATCCCTCAGTTTTTAGTACTTTATTTTAGGGAACAAATGACCTATTTACCTGCTGAACTCAATTCTTCTTACTTCCTATTTTGAATTCTGACTCTAAAAAATGTTATTTCATAAAAAATACTCTTACTTTGGATACATTTTATGCAGCATTTAAAATTTTTTTTAATTTAAAACATCATTTTGTATCTTATGTTTATTTGCTTTGGCAGCCTTTAATCCTAACATACATGTTTGAATAATTTTTGTAATAACTCAGTGGTTTCTTGTGTAAATTCCAAGACAAGTCTAATAGTTTGTCATTGCAGTCTGAGTCAGTTTTTTTTTTTCTTCCTGAGCAAATAAATATCAGAAGGTCTTTAGGACTAACTATGCGCTTAAATATTTAGAAATTCCCGCAAAGTTAATGAAATGGTATTTGTAGAAATTGTCCCCTTAGTGTCCTAAATAAACTAACTATTTCAAAAGACTCTGCCAAGCCACAACCTTGCACAAAAGTCACCACAAATTACACAAACAATACTTCTGCAAGGATATCTGCCCAGCAACTGACTATCCAGCCTTGGAATGAGGCCATCCTTGTTGATCCTGGAAGCCGAGGATAATTGTTTCAATGAATAAACCTCCCTCTCATCTTTAAAAGCTTCCCCTTACTTCTGCCCCCTTCAATGTGCTTATGGTTTCCTCTGGCTTGAGTTTTTCCATTGCAGTAAGTATTCTGCTCATTCCAAGTAAATATCATTATTCTCTGGAGACTCTCTATGATTGTTATTTAGGTTGTCAACATCATCTTCCCATAGTTGATGAACCTAGAAACCTTTTCATTTCCTTTACTTCCTACATCTGATCACTGTCTGTGTCTAGTGAATGCTACCTAAATAAACTCCACCTCCTTCATGCCTCTCACCCTCCCCATAGGTGGCTGCATTCCATTCATGCTCTTTTTACCGCATTCCTGGATCCTCCCTCTCTTCTCCATCCTGTCTTCTGCTCCTGTTCTGACTTCATCACCTGTTGCCACAACCAGCTGACAACTGGCCCCTTTGCCTCCTTCTCTTCCTTTCATCCTGCACATGGCTGACACAGTTGTTTTTCTAAAGCATTTTTTTTTTTGGTACTGGGAATTGAATCCAGGGGCACTTTACCACTAAGCTACCCCTCCAGCCCTATCTTGCATTTTATTTAGAGACAGGGTCTCACTGAGTTGCTTAGTGCCTTGCTATTGCTGAGCCTGGCTTTGAACTCACAATCTTCCTATATCAGCCTCCCAAGCTGCTGGGATTTCAGGTGTGTGCCATCACACCCAGCACCAATTATCTTTTGATTTTGTTCATCTTTTTTTTTTAAAAAATAATATACATAATTTTATTACAAATTAAAAAAAACACCAAAATGCAACATCCTAAAAAACCCAAAATTTACTAATTCCTACCAGTTTGCTGTGCTACCATACACAAGAAATTAAAGAAACCATTAAATATTTAGGAACATTCAATATCAGAAGCTTTAAAATCTAACTGTATGTAGTAGCCCTTCAAAAAGCTACAATCTGCATTTTTAAAAAAGTATTTTCCTCTACAAAGAATCTTAGCAACTATACAAAAATCTGTACAGTTTTTATACTGAAACTAATGTTGAGCTGCACTTGAATTCACATTCTTAGCAAAACAGTTGCCTGAGCACACACACACATTCCACACTCATCATTACAGGACAGCCACTTATTCTTCATCCTCCTCCTCTTCCTCATCATCTTCATCTTCTTCCTATTCTTCCTCTTCCTCTTCTTCCTCTTCCTCTTTATCTTCTGGTTCACTCTTCTTCTTTGAGCCTGTTGGCCTACCAGGGCCTTCTTTCCTGCTTCACTTTTTCCCTTAGCATGGTATGCAGCAATATCCTTCTCATATTTCTCCTTTAGCTTAGCTGCTTTCTGTTCATATGGCTGTTTATCTTTGGCTGACTGATCAGACCACATTTCACCCAATTTTTTTGCAGTATCCCCAATGGACAGGCCTGGGTGTTCACTTTTGATCTTTGGGCGATGTTCAGAGCAAAACAGGAAGAAGGCAGATGGTAGTTTCTTAGGAGCGTTGGGATCTTTTTTCTTTCCTTTCTTATCACCTTTGGGAGGAACATAATTTTTTATCTCCCTATCATAGCGAACTTTGTCACTTTTTGCCATATCTTCAAACTCCGACTTCTCCTTTGCAGACATGGTCTTCCATCTCTCTGAGTACTTCTTGGAGAATTCGGCGAAGTTGACGGAAGAGTCCGGGTGTTTCTTCTTGTGCTCTTTGCGGCAGGTCTGCACGAAGAAGGCGTACGAGGACATTTTGCCCCTCGGCTTGTTGGGGTCTCCTTTACCCATGGTGGCAGCCGCCGTCTACCTGATGGGAGCTTTTCCTCAGAGTCCCGCAGTGCGGTTGGATCAGAGAAGCTTCCTCCCCTGGGCTCCGGCGTGAACTGGTTTGTTGTTCATCATTATTGTGATTTTTTTTATTGTACAGATATTTTACTTTTTTTTTTTTTTTTGCAGTGCTGGGGATTGAGAAATTCTACTTTTTTAGTTAAATTTGTCAACTTTATATGCTCCTAAGTTTTGTGTCATTCTTCAAAAATATTTTCTAAGATATAAGTAAATACACTCAGTTTTCTTCAAGCATCATCATAATTTATTTTTTAGAGTTTAAATTTTTTATTTGTATAAAATTTACTTCAATATAGGTAGTAGGGTGAAGGAAATTATCTTAATTTTTTCCCCAAATGGTTACTAGTTATGCTAGTTTCACTTATTGAATACTCTTTTCCTCATATAACTTTTGTACTAAATTATGGTGTATTGACAGGAATTTTTCTAAATTCTGATTAATTCAGCTAGAGAAAATTTATGGTATCCCAATCCCTAGTCTGAGGGATGCAGTTAATCCTAGCTTGGACCAAGACCTGTTAACAGATATGAATTTCAGTATGAAAATTCAAGTGAGCAAAGATGTAACTTTATTTCCTTGCAACTGAACAATCTGATCTAGTTGACCTTTTGAGCACCTGTATCTATTCTGAGACAGAGTAGTCAACTCAGTCAATTCAAGGAATCTAGTTGATCTAAGCTCTGGGGACTAGAACAAGTAGCTTCTCTCACCCAAAATTTGGTGAAGGGAACGAACTGGTTGATAGCCAACCTCTGTCTTCTGCTGGTACCTACAAGGTGTAATTCAATCTGTTTGGTCCCTATCATTGTGCAGTGGCTTGTGTAGATATCCTGCCATGGGCCTTAATTTTCTAGTTCTGAGTACTTATGCCTGGGTTTCCAGGACCTCTCTTAGCTCATCTAAACCCTCAGCAGAGGAAGGCTTGGGAGACACTGGCTCCTTTCCTTGCACTGGCCTGAGAGCACTAGGTCTCTGAGAAGCTGTACACTGGTTCATCCACCTGGGCACCTCTTAGGCCATGTCACTTTCCAATACTAGCTGAATGTTGGACATGGGCTTCTTTAAGACTTTCCATGTCTCCGTGCTACACCTTGGAAGAAGGCAGAACTTTCCTGTGCTCTCAGCTTTCCCTAAAATCCATCTGTGATCTCTCTTAGAGGTTCACTCCAACACACAGATTTGGACGCTGTTATGGAGGCCCCTTTGTCAAGAATTAATTTTAGTGACCCCATTTTTTAAAATTTGTTGACAGCAATACTATTTATATCTATTTATGAGGTGCAATGTGATGTTTTGATTCATGTATAATTACTTATTTTCTTGCTGTCTTTTACGACATATCTTCTTTCCTCCAATCTCTGAGATTCCTCTGGTCTCAAGGAGGTGGCAATGGTTAGGTTGGAGGGGGGAAATGGCTCATGTGTCACCTGAAATCTTCCATGCTTTGGCTATAGTATAAATTTTTGTTCAGATCTTTGGATCTTGATATTTAAGCTGAACTTTGGAGTCAAAGCAATCATTTTTTTCTCTCAAAAGCTTTATTCACAAATAAAAACTTTTTTTTTGCTTTTAATATGATTATTTCTGTTATGAATGTTATGAGTCAACTTTGGAGCTCAGGGTCAGGAACCTAATTCTTGTTCTTATTGCATCAGGAAGAATAATAGGCATGAAGAAGCCCCGGTGAAGGATGCCTGGGAGAAAGCTTTGCCAATATCTAAAAAATTTGCCCATAACCTGATGGTACCCACACTCCTGGCACCATCCCTGTACCCATGGTCTAGGCATCCTGTCCAACTAGATGCTCTCTGGTCCTCACAGTTCCTTTCCTGTGCTCCTGCTAAGTCCTTACTATCTTAAAAATTCTTTTTTTAATTGCAAATTGATGAATTATAGTTGTATATATTTATAGAGTACAAAGTGATTATGATTTATGAGTACAATGTAGAATAATTAAATCAAGAAAATTAACATATCCATCAAACACTTATTATTTTTGTGGGGATAACAATTGAGATTTACTCCTTTCACGATTTTGAAATGTACAGCACACTATTATTAACTGTGTTCATCATGTTGTGTAATTGACCCAATAACCCAATAATGTTCTCCTCTTGTCTAACTGAGGCTTTGTACACTTTGACCATTATCTCCTTATTTCCCCCATTCCCCAGCTTCTGCTAATCAACATTCTGTTCTCGATTCTATGGTTTGATTGATTTAGATTCCTTCTGTGCCTTGTTTATTTCACTCAGCATAATATTCTTTAGCTCTATCCATGTTGTTGCAAATGATAGAATTTCCTTCTCTTTAAAGGCTGACTAGCATCATGTGTATCTATACCACATTTTCTATGTTCATTCATCCATTGATGACCATTTGATTTGATTCTAAAGCTTGGTTATTGTGAATAGTGTTGCAATAAACATGGAGTGCAGATGTTCCTTCTACATTGTATTAGTCAGGGTTCACTAGAGACACAGAACCAATAGGACTTATGATTATAAAAGGACATTAAAACAAAAAAAAATTTTAAAGGATATTTATTAGATTGGCATATAGAATTAGAAACTGGATAGTTCCAGAATGGTTGTTGGCAGACTGAGGAGCTGGAGGAACCAATCGCAGCTATTATCTAAGAAGTCTAAGAAGTTGGAACCTCAGAACAAGAGGCATCAATGATGCAGCCCCAGTCTTAGACTGGAGGCCTGGGAACTTGCTAGTCAGGATATGCTTTGGAAGAGTGAAGAGCTGGAGTTTGATGTCCTTAACTAGTTTCAGTAGCAATCTAAGCACCTGCTTAAGAGAAAACAGTGCCTGCATCCATGTTGCTTCCTCCTTCCTTTGCTCTCTTCCCTCAGGGCCCAGCGTACATTCATTGTGGGTCTAATTCCCAGTTTGCTGTCCCAAATGGCAGTAACCGCTGGAAACACTCTCATTGACCTACCTCCAAATCTCTTAATCTAATCAAGTTGACAATCCACATTACTATTACAAACATACTGATTTTAAATATTTTGGATAAATACACAAAAGTTGGATTGCTGGATGACATGTTAATTCCATTTTTCATTTTTCAAGGAATTTCCCTGCAGTTTTCGACAGTGACTATACTATTTCATTTTCCTACCAACAGTGTAGAAGGGGTCCTTTTTCTCTGTAATGCTGTCTTTTGAACTGGGGTCCTGCAAGTTTCCCTCACTTGCAACTCTCCTAAGGAACCAGAGCATCAGAATCCACCATTTTTAAGTAGGGCTACCATTTTGCTGTAGAACTATCTACCTTCCAAGATTTTCCTTCTCTTTCATCTGGGACCCTCCCAATGTGGTCCTCCACTTGCTTCCTGTTGTAGCCGTTGGTGCTTCCCAGATAATCACCCCACATCATCCATCCACTCTGCCTGACAGGAGGGCAGACTGACTATTCCTGTGTGTGAGGCAAGGGCGTATGGTGGGTGGGTGAGAGCATGAGGCAGTATGTGAGGAAGGCACCAAAGAGAGCCACTACAAGAAAGACTGCAAGTCAGAAGGTAGAATGCCAAGAAGAAAGCATCATAACCTTGCCCAGTTAAGTACAGACTAGGTTCAAACACCTAGTCTGTGACTTATTATGAATTATTGCTTCAAAGTATTTTGGAGAGAAATGATTTCTCCCAGATTAAGACCTTCCTTGTACAAGGATCTAAGCCTCACTCTTTATCCACAGATCCAGAATGAGGTGGGAGGAAATAAGTTTACAAAAAAATTATCATTTAAAAAAACCACCCTCATAGCGGAAATTTAATAGATAAACCTCACTGACATGAACTCACAAAATTATAAACTCATAAGGAAAAAATCTATGAAGAATAAGAGTCACGCAAACCAAAAGCAATGTGTTTAAAGCCTCCCAAAATTCAGAAAGTAAAAATATTGAGCACAAGGTTTTTCATTTTAAATAATTAGAGTAGTAAACATGCACAAAAGAAAGAAGAACGATTCTATTAAAAATACCTAAATGATTAAGAGGAAAAAGAAAGAAACCAAATAGGAATCTTAGAAATGAAAATATAACCATTGAAATGAAAAACTTGGTGTATGAGATAAATTCAGACACAATTGGAGAGAGAATGAGTTAATTGAAAGAACTAAGCAGTTGTGTAGAGGGTTATACAAAGAGATGAAAAAATCAAGGGCAGACAAAACACATGGAAGGTAAGATGTATTGGTCAAATATACATTTGGGGGTGTTTCATTCCATTCCTAGGTATTTTATCCCAAACAAATAAAACCATATATTACAAAAAAGTTGCATCAGAATATTCACAGTGGCCATATTCATGATAGTCAAAAGCTAGAAACAACTCACATGTCTATCTGCTGGGGAGCAAATAAACCTTGGTATAGTCTTACAATGGAAATTGTACTCAGCAACAACCAGAAGAAAACTACTAATATATATAACTGCAAAGATAAATCTTAAAAGTTTCTTGCAAGGAGAGAAAGAAGTGAGACACAAAGGAATACATGTCTTATGTTCCTATTTATGTTATGTAACAGGATAGGCCAATCTAATCTAGAATGGTTGTTTCTGGGCAGGGGCACAAGAAACTTCTGGGATGATAGTAATATTCTATATCCTGCTTTGGGTTTTGATAACATGGGTTTATACAATTGTTATAATTCATGATTTGAACATGTGTGATATGTAAATTTTATTGCAGGTAAATTATACCACTCCCCAAATCAATAATTAAAAAGTGAAAAAAGGGGCAAAATCAACCAAGCGTACTTGCATGGAAAATCTAAAGTGCCAAAAACTAATGCAAGAAGACAGCTACTTATTGGAGAAATGTGTAAAAATTTTAATGGGAATTTCAAGGAAGAGAAAATTTGTAAGGGCAATAAATGCATGGAAAGTACATGATCTCGGGGCTGGGGATGTGGCTCAAGCGGTAGCACGCTCGCCTGGCATGCGTGCGGCCCAGGTTCGATCCTCAGCACCACATGCAAACAAAGATGTTGTGTCCACCGAAAACTAAAAAAAAAATAAAATAAATAAATAAATATTAAAAAAAAAAGAAAGTACATGATCTCATGCATAATAAATACATAATCAGAGGAACACAAACTAAAATACCACCACTTTGACACCTCTTGAATATAAAAAAAATTTAAGTCTGAAAAATTCCAAAATGCTGATGAGGATTTGAACAACAGGCATTTTCATATACTGCAAAGGAGAGTTTAGAGAGATACAATCATTTTAGATAATAATTTGGAAATATTTAGTAAAGACAAGTTATAGCTTAGCAATTTCACTCTTGGACATAGTCTAGGTCAGCAGTTCTTA